GGCACGACACTTAATGTTGCACTAATCAATGCTTGTCCTAGATTGAGAGAGGTTGATTATCAGACCTGGTGGTCCATCAAGTGTGAGGTTGGGCCTTTTCTGCTTTGCATTTGAGGATGTAGGCATCTTTGATTTGTCATATTCCTATGATCTCTCAATTCTTCATTGATGATCTCATGTGTGTGAGGTTGGGCCTTTTCTGCTTTGCATTTGAGGAGGTGAGACTCCTTGGTTTGTCCTATTCCCATGATCTCTCAATTCTTCATTGATGATCTCATGCCTTATCATTTCCAGTAAGGCGTCATAATTGGCAGGGTCTTTGTTTCACACATCTCTCCAGAAGAGAGTTCATGTCCAGTCCTTCCCTTATGGCTATCTAAGCTTCCTTATATGTAACTTTCATACAACAAGTCATTTCATCAACGAAACGAGACATGAAGATTTTCAACGACTCGCCTTGTTCCTGTCCTATGTCCTATAAGCTATGTATTTGCTCTTTTACCTTCCTGCTCGTTGCAAAATGCTTAAAGAAAGTTTTTTTGAAGTTTAACCAACTTCGAATACTTCATTTCGAAAATCTGGTATACCATATTTCAGCTGCTCCACTTAGGGTTAAGTAGAAGCTCTACACTTTATGGTAGGGGTGGCTCCTTTTAGGTTCTTGAAGGTATTGAGATGTTTCGCAAGATCGCATCTTCCATCATATTTGGAAATTTTAGGGAGCGTGAAGTGGTTTAGTATAGGGGCATTCCTAACCCCTTGTGAAAATGGTAGATTGTCATCATCGTCATCAAGATCGCAGGACCTTTATGGCTCGTTTGGATCTTCATCTTCCCTAACCTGAGTTNGGACCTTTATGGCTCGTTTGGATCTTCATCTTCCCTAACCTGAGTTTCTGGGGTGGTTGGGAAGGACTTGCTTGACTTCTGGCCTGTTCCGCCCTCATCTCACGCTTATTTTTAGGGAAAGGATTTCGAGGTACAATGTTATAATCTGGCTTATTTTGTCTTTCAAACCGAAGAGGTTCCTGCTATCTATTTCTACGTACATGGAAAGGTTGAACCTGCCTACTCCTAGGTAGCCCTGGGCTCAGTCTGTCAAAAACATTTAATGGCCTCTAGGGCATGTTTTCTGGGTCGTAGTTTGGAGAAAAATTGAATGGGACCTCAGTGGGTCAGTCAGTGGCATAGTTGGTGGATATATCAAATGTCCAACTTCCATTTCCTAGGGAGCTTAATCTCTTGCGTAATATTGGTGGTCAGCCATTTGGCTTTGGACCTTATCTTCACCGTGGTAGTAGTTTCCTTGTGAAGAATCGTGAAATGCATTTTCTAGGCTGTATATGGAGGATTTGGGTATCCTCATTGGCCATGTATGCTCATTAACAATTCATGCATGACTATGTTCAGTTGGGCTATATTTCTTATGTTTGTGGCCATTGTGACCACCTTCCGAGTGAGTCTAGCATCTATCCTAGACCCACCTTGTGTGTGATGTTGGTGAGGTCGATGGCGAGTAGTTCGGATATCATGAGAGGGTTCCTCTTCTTCAAGGTGTTCCCTAGCCCTTCAAGGTGCATATTCTTCATTATTTGAACTCATGATAATAAGCTTTTTCCTGACAAATGATATTCTTTTTTTCAAAGATTAGACTGGCTTCCAATCAAACGGTTTATCTTGGACTTTCTCAACAGTTTTTTCTTCAAGAACGCTCATTTTTCAAATGCTTGAAAATCACTTCAGAGTAAGAATTGCTTCCAACTGGCTTTTTCCTACATGATTTTCATGGTTAAACGTATGGTTTCCCACAAACGGCGCTAATCTGTTGACCCCTTTTTCCTAACGCTAATGTGGACAACAGATTTAGGTAGCGATGGCAAAATGGCAGAATAGCTCGTTGGCTCGACTCGTCAAAGCTCGGCCAATGGATGGCTCGAGCTTGTTTCGAGATGAGCTCTAGCCTAAGTCGAGTCGAGCCGGGATTTCGCCTGGCAAGGCTCGTCGAGCTTGTAAAAAATGTGAAGAAAAAAGTAAAAAAATAATAAAAAAAAGCTTGTGGGTCGAGCTCGGATCGTCTATTAGGCCGAGCCAAGCTACCACCACTAGATACAGGGCTCACTCATGCCAAGTCAAGTAAGTTCCGGTGCCTTTGATTGGAGAACCGAACGGAAAAGGGGAGTAGGTGAATGTGAGAGATGCTTTACGACGTAAGAAAAAATGTTCAAGTACTGACGATGGTGACTAAGATTATTGCACTAACAAACAATCACCAACAAAATGCAAATAACCTAAGATCAAACAAACAAATGTAGAACAAGTAAGATGGTATATTGTGAATATTTTTCTTGAGTGTATTCTTGTATATTAGAATCAATATTCAAAAGATCATCCTCTACAATTTGCAAAAAAACCACATATTTATAGAGTTCTGGCCGACATAGTGATTATTTGATCAGAACTATATGACCTCATCTCCTTGACTGAAGCCTTACATCACTAAATCTATCATAAATTAAATACATTATTAACGGGTTAGTCGCCCTATACATTAAGCTGATACACCCCGACATTCTTTATTACAAATGTTACTTCAATCATTCCTAAATATTACCTACAAATCATGTAAGAGACAGTTTCAACTTCAGCTTTTTCTTTGATTGCTTACGTAGTGCTTCGGCTTAAGTGTTTCAGCTAGTTAGACAACGCGTCGAAGCACTTAAGAGCTTCGGCCATTTAGATAGTGCTTCGGCACATGAGTTTCAACCTTTGTTTGACTTCTTTGCATTTGATTAATTTGGTCTTTGTTCACTTTCCTTTCCACGTGGACTGCGATGTGCCACTTTAACTAAAGTCCCGGTGGCAATGCATAACAAGTACCTTTACACTTTATCTAAGAAATCAATTCATTGATCTTGCTCCGAAGTTTAGCTCTTAAGTTCTTGAATGTGTGACTTCGATTTTTCAGGAATCCAATTTTTTATTATAGCTTTTGATCTTTTTAATGAACATCGATCAATTTTTCATCGCAAACTTTGAAAAACTATAATCACTTGAATTCAACTTGTTAGTAAAAAAGATTAACTTATTTATTATAATCAAAACTTTAGGATTATAATCAACTATATATCAACACAAATAACTAACTGTCACATGTATGCCACGTAGGGCGACCATGGTAGAATCTCGATAAAAGTTAGAATTTTATTTTTGAAATTCGTTTTAGTTTTTAGCACACATTCACTTTTATATTTATAAGTTTGTATGAATTATGTTTTCAAATTTCTAATATAGTGGGGATTCATCAGTATTTTATTGATCTATTATTTGACGAAGTCAATATTGACTTGGATAAAATGATTTTAAATATAGAAATAGTTTTGTTTGTTGATAAAAAAATTCTTAAATTTTTTTTCATTTTTTAAAATAGTGTTTTACTAAAATAATTACATTACCTTAGTAGAGATGGTTGGTCGCGATGGGTCCATGCACTGAAAGAGCTAATATTCACAAGTTATGCGTACAAATATTTGTTATTTTTAAAGATAAGTTAAGCAATTCAAATTCAGTACAACGTTAGACTGTGTTGCGGGCCAACTCTACCAATGGGACTAATTTTCGCATGTAAAAAACATTAAGGGGGCGTTCTCTTTGTGTTTCAGTTTTGTATTTTGAGTTTTGAATTTGTTTTGTGTTTTATTATTTGAGTGTCTGTTTTGAAATTTCTGAAAATGCATTCTCTTTGTTATTCTGAAAAACTGTTTCCGAAAACATAAAAATGGAAAACGCGTTTACTTTGAAATTTTGAAAACTGTTTAACAATATTTTATTAAAAAAACTGATTATTCAATAAATTTTAATTGTGTAATGTTAATATAATATTAAATAACATATAGAATTTAAAATTATTGAAACATAAATTTATTTTTCAAGATATTAAAAAC